CTCACGGCGCCGCGCGCGTGAGCGGGGCCTCGGGCTTCGGGAGGCTTTGTGGTGCGGGCCGCGTCAGCGCTGCGCAGTTTAAATTGATTCATTTAATAAAGGAATGATTAATAATAATAGAAGTGTTTCTAAAGTTGTTGTCTGTGATACCAGAGTATTCAACGCAGTGATGCTGGAGTTCTGGTTTTTATCTTCTTTTCACTCCCACCCTACAACCCCCTTTGGAGGCTGTGGGGTTTTTCCCAACACCACACACCTACCTGGGAGCTTTCATATCAAGATGTTCTTGCTTCCATGGAAGTCAACAGACTTTGCACCAAGACCATGGCAGCCCATACAGATTATACAGAGTTTACTTGATGCCTGAGCTAGGTGGAGCAGCCAACACTGGTGCCTGCAAGGAAAACTGTGCTGGTCTTGCTGCTTCCCACATTGCTACAGCCCTGGAAAGATGGGTGGCCCCTGAGGAGGCCACAGAGGTGCTCAGGACGGCAACTCCTTCTGCAGTAGAAAGTGCTTGGCCCCTCTCCTCACGCTCCTACCAGCACCGCTGCTGCTCTGGTCCTTCCCCTGCCCATCCCCATCTGCCAAATCATGGGTGACTTTTTTTTCTGAGGATGTTAGAATAAAATTTTGTTTATACAGAGAAGCAGCTTGATGTAGCTCTGGCAGTAAAATATTGCTTGGGACTGTTAGGGAGTAGGAAGGAACTGAAGCAACCTGAAGCCGAAGGAACAGCGATGCCGACAGGGCTGTTTCTTCAGACCATGTAATCTTCTAAGGCAGTATCCTAAAAACCACTAATCTAATTGAAATCTTGATGTAAAACCTAAGAGTGAGTACTGCAAAATGACAAAAATAACTGTCAACTCTACTGGCTTGCATTCATCCAAGGAATTTTAATGTCTATTTAGATATTAATTAATTATATGTTTAACATTTAGCTGGAATGGTATGGATGTACATTTACAAATTTATATAGTCATTTGGTACTAGGTGAAAAAATCCGCATTAAAAATGTTATTTATCAGTAAATAAAGGCAAAGATTAAATATGCCAGATTCCTGTTTGCTGTTCTTTGGACTAACAAGTCTCTGTGGAAAGAAGTCTTTTTCCTATGAATGAACCCTCCTGGATAAGCCTGTGAAGTTACCAGCTCTTTACTTCCAAACTGTGCTACCTCCAGATTAGGAAGTTACAGGAGGAATACTCTTTCAAGAGGTAATTTATTTATCCTGATTGTCATAAATACACAGCTGTATTATGACAATTCAGGGTATATCAGATGACTGATTTATAATCCCTTGAGGAGCCAGATAGGACACCAGTATCAGAGGAAGAAGCAACAATACCTCCTAAAGTTAGTTTTCCCTGAAATGAATTCTATTATTGCCAAGTTATGTGATATTTGACTATGAGTTAGATTTTCTTGGTTGAGATGTGATTCATACTGTTTAAAAGACTGGAAACTTCCATCTTACCTTATTTTTAGTTCTGATCAGTCACCAGTCACAGTTGTCTCTGAATTATGTATTTCCATGTCCTTGTTATATGTAAAATTCTATTCAAATGTTAGCATATTCCCATGGAAACAATGCTTGTTCATTCAAAATAATTACCTTGAAACTCTACACAGTGCTGATGCAAACACAAATATTGGATATATGTTTTATGATCAAATTAATTATACCTATTCACCTGGCATGGTTTCAAAATTATCACTGTGTTCAAGTGCTGCTGAACTCATATCCCTTTTAGAACATTGTCAAGAGTAATTTGCTATTTATTCTGCTCAACAGAGTAAGATAACCTGCTTGCCTGAGTTGTTAGAGTTATAACACTAAATCAAACCATCTAATACATACACAGCAAATATAACTTATGTGCACAGCTGCAATCTGGAGGTTGATGCTGTCATATGTTCTTCAAGGTTTTATTAATTTTATTGCAGAAATGTCCTGTCTCCCTTTCCGTCATTTAAGTTTGGTTTATTTAATTGGAAGCCCTCTCAAAACATTCACATACTGCTTAAACATTCTTGCGCTTACTCACTTCCCCTAGCTGCATCTTGACACTGTAAGGTTATGCAACATTATATCACAACATACCATGAGAAGAAATAGTGTCAGGAAACCACACACACACACACACACACACACAAAAAAAAAAAAAAAAAAAAAAAACCTGCCAAGTGCCCCCATCAATTTCTTCACGTTTGTATTTTTAATTTTATAACTATGACAGATTGACCTGTATGTGTGAACCTCTCTGTGAGAATGATTTGTCATGTTTCTTCTTCCCCTTAGAAGAAGCAAACTGTACAATGTTTTGCAATGTTTAGCTATCCTAACATATTAAGGATAAGCTGGCTTGTGTAACAGAATAGTAAAAAAGAAGGTAGGTGAACTCAAAGTCCAGCCAGAAATATGGCCATCACACAGCTCAAACGCTTCCAATACTCAGTGCTGCTTGCTTAAAACTACTTCAGGTATCTCTACCCCTCAGTACGTTGTTAAACATAAAGCACAGTCAGACATAACAAGATGCTGCAAGTTGTCATTTGTCATATTTATCGTCAGTGAGGAATATGAAGTTGTTCTGGTCTTACAAGTGGGGTGCAGTAAATTAACCTTACTTTGTATTGCCTTTACCCCCAAAGTATGTCTCGCTTTTTTGTCTAATTCCTTAAATATTGAACTGAAATAAAAATTAAGTGTCCATAGTTCAATTTTGACTGGCCTTGACTGTCAATGAGAAGCCCATAAGAAATCGGTGTTTAGGTCTCCTCTCCATAGATCATTTGTATTCACAGTGCACACACAGTATCGCTCCGGAGTTCTCATGGTCATGTTTCGAGTCTGAGCCTGAATACGAGGAATCACTTACATGCTTGTTAACCTTGTGCACATACCTAAACTAATACATACTCCTGAATGCCATTATTACTGAATAGAAGGGTTTTTTTGATTGTTTTGTTTTGTTTTTCCCATCAGTCCCATGCTCCTGTTATCTATGAATATTATATTTTTAAATGGGATAGGTCATCCAAATTGACATAGAGGGAGAAAATGAGTGGTTGCGAAGTCACACGTGGAAATGTGGTGCAAGTACATAGAGCAAACAGTTTCTGAGCTCACAGGAATGCTGTAGTTATATCTATGATTCGTTATCTTTTGCACAGACTTCAGAAAACCAGCCCTTTCTGAGTAGTCTGTCTGCTCTGGTCAATGTGTTATTGAGTAGCATTTCTTTCTTCCAAGCTGGAAAAAAAATCTGCTTCTAGCACCCTCAGAGGAATGTGGAAGTCATCAAGGAGACTGAGGCGGCTTCCACAACTCCGGGCAAAACGCGTGTTTTGCTATTAGCAAAACCTATTGGGAAAGTGGATGCAAGAACCTGCCTAAGTGTAACGGTTACTGCAGCGTACACTCCGTGACACTATGACTAGTCAGTCTGCTCATTACTCATTATTCAAACTGACTGTAGGAAAGGATTATCTGTAGCCTAATAATAAGTGTTATTCTCTGTAAATGGGAATTGTGACCTTGCTATCATTCAAAGGATCTGTTGAGATACTGTGGAATTGAGAAGTGAGTTTTAACCATTTATTGTTTTCCTGTTTATATTATCGCAACCCTGCTTTTTCAGGTTAACAAATATTTAACATTAAAAAAAACCCTCCACTGTGGCTTTAATTATATATTTTGTCAATATTTCTGTGTAACAACATATGATTCTTACTGCTGTTCAGTTTATAGCTAATAGGAAAAGGATGAACAGTTCTTCAAGGTCTAGAGCAAGGCCTAGATTTGGACCATTAAATCAATGCTCCATTGTACAGTACTCTTTATTTCTACCCAGAAATAGAACAGTGACATCACATGTGTTGTAAAATGTTATATGTAATGTACTAACTAGAAGATCCATACAAAATAATAACTGTGAAAAATGGCCTCCTCTAAATATTTAGAAATATCTAATTTTGAACTTCTGTCAGAATTTCCGCAGGGATAATGCATTGGGAAGGAATGCTGGCAATTCAATTTCCCTTAAATTATTTTTTAACAATGCTGAAATTTATTTCAGTACTTTAGAGAAAATTTCTGTGCAGAGCCAGTGAAATTCTAATGATAAGATTGTGATATCAAGGGGAAATGATAAAGTACTTGACTACAAAGACAGGCAAAGGAAGAACTATGTCGCAAGGAGAAAGAATTTGCTATTGGTCGACACCAAGAGCAGTTTTCTCCTCAGCCACAGCTCCGACCCCGTGGACAGCATGTGGACAAGTGGAAAGGAGGATCTACTAATTCCCAACCATTTTCTGCTCACACCAGAGGAAGAGCGCTGCATAGCTCTTCATTAACCTTGCTCAGATCTCTGATATGCATAGGCCATATACAAGGAAGCAAATGGGTGACAGCATAAAATTCCTCACTAATGTGGCAATGAAGATCATGAATTTGGTGATTAATGAATCTGAGTAGTTTCATTTTCTTAATTTCATGGGTATAAATTGATATATTTCTATTATACAATTTCCCATTCCCACCACCTCTGTTTATGCTTTGGGATTTCTACCCTTTCCCTGCAGGCGGCTTCTTGTTGGTTCAGTCAACACCAGTGGCTCTTGTACAATGGTTGCTGAATAATTTTTTCCTAAAAGTTCAACTTCCAAATTCTGTCCAACTTTGCTGAGTTCTGTGGGAACATATGCGAACGCCAGACTCCGCTGAGCACCATAGCTGAAACAGCCAGATGTAGTGTTGCCAATAACCTGATAAAAGAAGCAAATGTATCCTTAAAAAGCTCTCAGTTTAGATACTTATTTCATATATCAATTACGTTTGGAGTGTGTCATGCAGTTCATAAATTTCTTCACCATCAGGGAAATCACCCTAAACTCCTTAAAACCCTAGTCTATACCTATTGTGTTCAATTAACTTTTCAGTTGAGACAAATACTATTCACACGCGCACATTTATATATACAATAATTTAACTGCTTATGTCTGTTTTGATACCTAATCTGCAGTGCAATGCAGAAGGCTAAACTTTGTTTTTATTTTTTTTCTCTCTTTTGAGCAAGTAATTAAAGTGTTGCTAGGAAAATGGTGAACTTGCAGGAAGAAAATAATAGACAAGCTAATAGTGTAGTCTGTTCCATCTCTAGTTTCTCTAACTAGATAGTATTTCAAACTTTACCTGTAGATATATACAGTTAATCCATGCTTCCTGACTGAAGATCAGAAAATAGTAACATAGCCTCAAATTGTTCTGTGTCAGTAAAACAAAAATAATATATTCACATTTGAAACACAAAGTTAGACTCTGTTCATGGAGAATTAACTTTAGCCTCTGTAACATGGTAGCCTTTACCTTGCCATTATGCCACACACTTTCATTTCCCTCTGGATCAACATTATCCGTTTCCAGGGTGAGATAGGCGAGGCGCCGTTTCAACCCCATTTCTTTAATCTCCTTCAGTGCTTGTTTTCCTATAAAGTCTGTTGGCTGAAAAAAAAATCAGATAATGGCTACTCAGGTTTTGGAAAAAGGTTAGGTATGCAAGCATTTACATTTGTCTTCATTTGTTTTTCTATTGCTTATATGTTCTATGTGAAATACAGATTAAACCAAGTCTTTGACAGACTTTATATCATAGAATCATAGAACACTTAAGGTTGGAAGGGACCTCTAGAGGTCATCTAGTCCAACCCTCCTAGAGTCACCTAGAGCACGTGGCACAGGACTGCGTCCAAGCAGGTTTGGAAGATCTCCAGAGAAGGAGACTCCACAACCTCCCTGGGCAGCCTGTTCCAGTGCTCTGGCACCCTCACTGTTAAGAAATTTTTGCTTAAGTTCCTGTGGAACTTTTGATGCTTCCGTTTCTGGCCGTTTCTTCTAGTTCTATCAGTGGCCACCAGTGAAAGAGGCCAGCACCATCCTCCTCACTGCCTCCCTTGAGGTACCTATAGACACTGATCAGGTCTCCCTCAGTCTTCTCTTCTCCAGGCTGAACAGGCCCAACTCTCTCAAGTCTTTCTTCATAGGGCAGATGTTCCAGATCATCCTCGTAGCCCTGTGCTGGACTTTCTCCAGCAGCTCCACATCCCTCTTGTACTGTGGAGCCCAGAACTGGACACAGTACTCCAGATGTGGCCTCACCAGGGCTGAGTAGAGGGGCAGGATCACCTCCCTCGACCTGCTAGAGATGCTCTTCTTAATGCAGCCCAGGAT